AATTATAGTATTAAATAGTACGTATAAATTATATTTACATCTATACATGTATGCCCAGTATATCTGTGTAGTATAACATCTTGCAACCGACTGCAATTTAAATAATTTATCTCATTATACACCTGTCACACACAAATCTCTGCATCACCCCAAGATTGACTCAAAGAAAATGCCTATTTAAGTCCGCCTTATGGAATGTATTTTCAGGAAGTACAAAAAAATTAATACATTTCCGTAAATAGTAAATAATATATATATAATAATATTAGTTTATTGGTCTACGATTATTTTTATCAGTTAAACTGCCGATAGTACTTATTGTTGACGGAGAGAGCATGAAAATTTGTGCACGTTTTGAACCTACTGCAGACTCCATGTCCCACAAAGGTGTTGTTTATAGGTGTTATAAATCTACCTACATATTAACTAGAGCCGTCTTGTAAGTAACAAAAATATTCTCTTAATAAGTATATTTTGGTCTGGTCTGTCCAGCTGTTCTATTAAACCGTATTAGATAGGTGCCATAGTAAACTTGAATAGGGTTTGGATTAAGGAGCTTAAAAATTAAGTTAGTAATCTTAATTTACATTTCATTCAAGTTATGCTCAAACGAGACTTCGTTCTCCACATTTCTGACGTTGTATGATTTTTCCTTAGTTTTTCTTATAGATTTCTTTCCGGTAACAAAAAAAAAAACAAATCTTTCTTCATTTTTATCAAAACCTAACAATTCATCGTCATCATCATCAACAGCCTATGATAGTCCACTGCTGGACATAGGCCTCTCCTTAGAAAGGAGGTTTTGGCCTACTATACCACGCTGGCCAGGCGGGTTGGTATAGGGTTTGTGTCAAGTTTTCCTTCTCTTTGCAGTGCTGTGTCCTGCGTAGTTTGCTCCCTTAGTCGGCTCTTACGACACCCACGGGATGAATAGGGGTGGTGACATTCCGTATTCTTGATCCGTCACCACACGGATATGACTTTTCAAATCAGTTGAAACTTCAAAAAGCGTTTATAACTTGTAGAATTTGACACTGTTGCTTTTAATAAATCCTTTTTTTTATTGAATACTTTTAATATATTTTAAGCTTGTCTATTTCAAATGCAAATTACAAATAAGTTATCTGCATAATAAGAAAACGTACGTTAGAGAAAGTATAGTGTTGCAAATATTACACAACTAGAATAATAATGAGTTGAATTGGATTGGTTAATTATTTAAATACACACTGTTTGTTTATTAAATCGTCCACTGAAATTGATTTAAAACAGAACTACTAATAAGTTGAAAGAAAAAAACGTTTTAGACTTATAAAGATTATAATCATTTTGAAGATGATTTAATAAATGGACACACGCCTGCTAAACATTTTTTGTACAATAATTGAATTATATTACTATAAAATTATAAAGCCAGATACAAGGTGTAAGGGACATCGTACTGAATACTGAAACAGTGTATTCAGACCATGATTCTGAGTCGAAAATTTCTGCAGGAAAAATCATCATTTTTTTTTTATTTTCCATTTTTTCCGGTTAAAAATGATGAAACATGATATTTAACAATGAGTAGACAGAACATTTTACCGAAAATAACTTAAATACCAAAAAAATGCAATGTTATTAATCATACAGCCGAAGCGCGGGGCCTCCCCTCCGGCCGCCATTTTGTATTAGTGTGCGTAGACCGTTTGTACGGAATACACATGTAGTTATTACTTTTGTGCGATACCTACGGGGAATGACCTTAACCTTTGACAGCTGATTGCATAAAAAGTTTAATTTTCCGGCAGAAAATTCCAATGATTTTCGACTCAGAATGATGGTCGGAATACACTATTTCAGTATTCGTTACGACGTCCCTTACACCGTGCCACCGTGCCGTATAACCATAAGCCAGTCGTGTTTTTGTGGTAGAGAGCTATTGGACTTGGAAATGTATAGGAATAAATGTTTTCTATAATACGTGTGGGTAAAATTTATTCTTACAGGAAAAATGACAGCTAATAATTTTTATAAGTAAAGAACACAGTAGCAAAAGGTCAATAAGAAGTCGCACATGAATAGTACTATAAAAATGATTAAATATAGGCAGAGATGTATTATATACAAAGACATATAGTGATAAAACAAGATACACCACGTGTATCTTTCTCGTATACGTTTTGCTGTAGAAATAACTGTGCTACAGTCTGTGAACATTTAAATGCTGATCGCTCTCGGCTGATTTAATAGTTAAAGATATTATAGGTATATTTTACACTATTTACTTATTACCTTAACTTATCAACTTCCATTTGTATCTAACTGGTAACATCGTAGAATTACAATCTATTATGTATTAATGACATATTTTTTACTAACTAAAGATAGCGGCTATAGTTCATTAAATTTTAATGGTTTATTTTAAATCATTGACTTGTAAAATAATATCATTATATAGTTTCCTAAGCCAGATCAACATATATACACGTAAATTTACAAATGTATCCTTTTAATTTGCAAAACTTATTGATTTAAAACTAAAGCGCTCCTCACTTAATAATAACTACACTCATTTTATACAAGGCAATATAATCTCAAACTAGACAGATCCTGTGCCATGGTAAACAGGCAGCTGATGATTATACTTATATATTTCTAAACACATACACACATACAAAACAAATGAATCGAACCCACCACCAGTCAGGATCACTAAACACTAGACCAGGGATTCCCAAACTGTTTGGGCAAGAGACCCCTTTTCTAAAATGAACCGATACCTCATGTGCAGACCCCCATAGCCAAATTACTTCACGCTTATCGACTTGTTGAGTTTTTAAAAGTACAATAATGATACTTCCTACTAAAATATTAGTCATTCTTATACCTCACAAGTTGGTACACGTAACACAACTATACAGTATCTTGAAAGCTGCAAATGAGAACTTCTGTTAATAGGGGTTGATTTTTATACTTCGACCCCCAAACTCAGTTTTCATTTATTACCCCTAGGAACCCGATTTTAACCTCAAGGGGTCGATATCGATCACTTTAGGAATCCCTGCACTAGACCAAAAGGTCAATCAAGCCCCCTTTTAATTTGTTACGAATTCGGTAAGCCCGTATCGTGCGTATCGTCCAAAAAGACACTATGTAAGCTATTTACTTATTATAACTAATTAAGTACGGTATCTAGTGAACCATTTGTTTTTATGAGTGGGGTCGTTATCTTTCAAAGTGTCGACCACAAATGTTCTAGTTAATTTCCTTGTATTGCGCTAATGTTACCCAACAATATATACCGCAAAAATATTATTTTTATTGATAGATATCAATTTATATACCTACAGTTTGTATGTTCTGTTCAAAGTAGCTTATAGCTGGAGCTGACCGTGTGGTGACGGATTTAGAATACAGAGTGTCATCACCCTTATTCATCCCGTGGGTGTAGTGTGTAGCCGACTAAGGGTGCAAACTACGCAGAACAACAGAACTGCAAAGAGAAATAAAGTTTGAAACAAACCCTATACCAACCCGTCTGGCCAGCGTGGTATAGTAGGCCAAAACCTCCTTTCTAAGGAGAGGCCTATGTCCAGCAGTGGACTACTACAGGCTGTTGGTGATGATGATATAGTTTTATTGGGCAAAATCAAATATGTATGAAAAAATCTTATAAGCATATATTCGTACATAGGGTTTATCTGAGTTAGAACATCTAATCGTCCATGCCAAACCAAACTCTTCAGGTTTATAATATGACTATACATAGGCAAATAAATTTGCTGTCCTGTATGGCTCTGAAAGTTGGCCCATTAAGAGAACGGATGAGAGACGCCTGAACGTAGCCGAAATGCGAATGCTGAGATGGATGTGTGGTGTGACTCAGATGGACAAGGTTAGGAATGAGTATATACGAGGGAGTCTGAAAGTAGCGCCACTGGATGAAAAGTTCAGAAGTAATAGGTTATCTTGGTATGGACATGTCATGCGGAGGGATGAGGAAAATGTGGCGAAGAAAGTTTTAGGTATGAGAGTTGAAGGGTACAAGAGAAGAGGCAGACCGAAGAAGAGATGGATGGACTGCGTCAGGGAGGATATGGCTAGGAAGGGAGTAAACAGTGAGATGACGCATGACAGAGTAGAATGGAAAAATCATACATACTGCGCCGACCCCAAATAAAAATTTGGAAAAGGCCTAACCTTTTCCAAATTTTGATGATTCCAGATGATGACATAGGCAAATAAATTTAAGTTACTCGTGTAGTTAAATATCTTAGTAAGTTTACTCTGTAGCGTGATATTGAGAGCGGTGCGTGTCGTGACAAATCTATATGACAAATAATTGCCTCTTTGGTGTGTCAGAAAACAATCTAGTGATTTAATCAAATGTAACGTTACATAAAAAATGGTTCTCCCCGTATTTCCCTTGAGAACAATATCAACATTACCATGTAATAATCGCGTATTATATGTTTTGCTTCATTATTTTGAACATAGCTGTTTCTTCTGTCACTTAAAAACATACATAGATAATTATTTTCTAATTTTTAGTTTGGCTAGTTACAAAAGCGTGGTTTTTAGTTTTTTAAACTATTTTTTTTTTTTGCTTTGTTAAAACTAAAAAAGTAACAAGTAAGTAACTTACATAATGCTTCAACATACGTCTTTTAGGACTTAGCAAAAGATATTACCGTATTTTTAGGTATGGAAAAAGCCATTAATCCTGAAGAACCTGGATCAATCAGTATAATCGGCCAAAATTATCAACTTATGGTATTGGCATCGGTTCATAATAGGTGTGCTGAGTTTCAATTTAATTCGACGTTTTGAAGTGGGTCAAAATCACGTTCGAAGATTTCGTGACATACATATCAAGCTAATAAAAGCGTGTTAATAAACATACTCAGTCCTTTTTTTAGGCGTAAACACGTAACAGTTGAACTGAATTGAAAAGCGAATTTATTTTGATGGCCAATCCGTTTTTTTTTTTAAATTTACTATTATCGTCGGTGCAGGCGCAGCGCCACCCTCCTCATGGAGGAGTCGGGACTTCATTTGGAGCACCCGGCGGCGGCCACGTTTCGTCAGCACGTGCTCGCCGGAGACTGGGTGAAGGCCGACCACGACCTGCGCGCGTTACACGACCTGCTCCGCGACTCGCCGCACGTCGAGCCGCACAACCTAGCCGTGAGTCGTTCGACCTGTCCTCTCGTGACTCTTCGTGTCTCACAAGAAGAAGACAAAAATAACAGGTTTCTATACGTTTCGGTCTTCAGGAGATGAAGTTCGTCGTGCTGGAGCAGAAGTACCTGGAGCACCTGGAGGCGGGGCGCGTGCTGGACGCGCTGCACGTGCTGCGCAACGAGCTGACGCCGCTGCAGTACGACACGCCGCGCGTGCACCGGCTGTCGGCGCTGATGATGTGCGCCGACGCGGGCGAGCTGCAGGCGCGGGCGCACTGGCCGGGCGGCGGGGCGCTGTCGCGCGCGGCCGTGCTGGCGCGCGTGCAGGCCGTGCTGCCGCCCGCGCTCATGATGGCGCCGGGGCGGCTGCGCGCGCTGCTGGCGCAGGCGGCGGCGCAGCAGGCCGCGCGCTGCCGCTTCCACGCCGCGCCGCGCCCCGCGCCCGCGCCCGACCACATCCCCTTCACGCTGCTGGCCGACCACCACTGCTCGCCCGACCACTTCCCCATCCACTCGCTGCAGGTCACCACCTTCGCTTGCTCCTTTTACGCTCACCACACGAACGGAATATCAATACGGATTGTATGTTGCCCGAAGAGGCTCTAAAAGCACCTCGTCCCACACGAGATATCATCGCCTCGGTGGTGTATATGACTGCTGTGCTGAGGTCTCGGGTTCGATTCCTGGGTCGGACCGAATGTTTGTATGATCTTTATTTATTGAAAAAAAATTGATAAGTATTCTATCAGTCAATCTAACTTACATAGCACAAGCTTTGCTTAGTTTGAAACTAGATGGCGTTGTGTGTTAGAACTCCGAAATATTATTAATATTATTCCTGAGGAACACATTTTCGATGACACGCCTTATTGCCACGATTGTCACATACCTTAAAAATAAAAAATACCCAGGAATATCATAGCACCAACTTCATAACATAATATTTAACCATACATAATTATATTACAAATGGGTCCAAATCAAAAACTCACAAAACTAGCATACTTTTAAACCACACAGTCCTTACAGTTTTCGTACTAAAGACTTGCACCCCTAACCTTGCTGATGTTCTCACTGTAGGTGCTAAACGAGCACTGCGATGAGGTGTGGTACTGCAAATGGTCGCCGGACGGAATGAGGCTGGCGTCGGGCTCCAAAGACAACACTGTTATGATATGGGACTTCGACCCCGTGGCCAAGCGTCTGTCCTTCAGGTAACTACATGGAATTTCACTTTCAAGATAAGCTGATTTTTTTCTGGAAGATGAAGAATACAAGCCTGGATGGCATAAATGGTATCATTGTTAAATAGAACCGATTAAACTAAAGGACCAAGCTTTATCACACATAGTATCTAGTACTTTTCAAAAAGTGTATATCGCACCCTTAGATATAAAGGTATAATACAAAAAAATATTTTTTGGGGAATTTGGTTTTAAGGATTCTGGATTCCTATGTTCCGGCTTATTTTTCGAATAAAATGCTTATTATTTAAGTTATAAATGTGAAATTTTGCAGGTTTATTCTTTTATAACTATACTATAATAAGTATTCAAAAAAAATTATAATATAAGTAAATTCTATAAATTACAAGTGATTGAAAAAACACTTTCAAGTTAAACTCATTTAGTACAAAAAAAACATCTTCACTCTTCGATCTCCTATGAATCAGACCCAAAATATACTAAATTTTGTATAATATTAAGGCGCAACTACAAATTGTTCTATAGTGTGGCCATCTAGTGGCCATTGGCATCGGTATAAATATCGGTAGTCTACACTAACTCAGTGTCTTTACAGTGGCGATGGAATGGCATTGGCTCATCAGTGGTGATATCAAAAAGATTGCCATATTTGGAAAAATAAATAAAAAAATTCCTCAAAAAAACGTAATATATTTTCAAATTATGAGCCACTGACATTCCATGGCCACTCGATGACATCTCAATAGCGTGTCAGTGGTATGACAGTGGCTTGGCGTGAACATAAAATAGCAGAATTGAGGCCCTGTTTTTTTGAACAAACACGAATAGAAGAATTTTTTGACGGTTCGCTTTCGGTAAATATGGACACGTTACTGCTTGTGACCTTGTAGCACTAAAAACGAGAGACGAGCAGGGAGAGGCACAAATATATTTACCGAAACATTATACTCTTTCTATCTCTGTCAGTGCTCCGGTAGACAATTTTATTTTGTGCATTAGCATTTAAAATCATACTTTACAAAAATTTTGACTTGACCCCTTATATTACTGAGGGTGCGATATGATCATTGATACTCTTGGGAGAGTTATGTTCCGGAACATATGAGCTGTCTCGACCAGAGCAAAGCATCAGCAATTCTCTTGCTTTTCACCGAATAAGTGAGATTACCGGGTCCCAACTCTTTCGTGCCTTTTTCTTGGAGGGAAGACAAAACTAAAGTAGCCAACGGTAGTACTAAAGGTGTTCATGGGCGGTGGTGTTCAGTTACCATCAGGTGACCCACCTGAAAAAAAAAACTAGTCTAGTATTATTTTGCACGCTGAAACACAATTATTATTTTTAATTTTACAAAACATTCGTTTGGTACGTTATGCAGGAAATCCTTGGAGGGTCACACATACGGGGTGTCGTTCCTGTCGTGGAGTCCGGACGGGCGGTACCTCATCGCCGCTGGACCTGAAGACTGCCCCGATCTCTGGATATGGAACATGGAGGTAATTTCACATATACCATGTATTGAAGGATTTTCCTGTCTTGTGTGACCAATCATAAAACTGACAAATGGGTATATGACCACTAACCATGGATTCTTCATAAGCACCTTGTTCTCCCGTTTTCTTTACCCTAATTTATCTTTAGGGTAGCCGGCTACAAAAGAAACAAGCCAAAACTATTTGTAATGTTATATATTCCGAAGACTCCTAATAAAATTGGAAAGTGTACAGGAGATGACGAGGATAATGTATATTAAGTACATTATCCTTATGAACCTGTTTTGACATGTTATAAGATGTTCAGACATGGCATGTTATCGGTACCATTAATATATCTCATCGGAACAGTTGGCCCGTTTTAATTTAAACAGGAATTTGTTGTATAATATTTTGATGTACGTCCTCAGACGGAGCAGCTGCACCTAAAGATGACGCACTCGCAGGAGGACTCCCTGACGGCGGTGGCGTGGCACGCGCTGTCCGACAAGTTCGTGTGCGGCGGCGCCCGCGGCCAGTTCTACCACTGCAGCCTCGACGTACGTAAGCGCCTCCGCTCCGGGGCTCGGAAGTGGAGTTGACAAACTCACGGGTTGGTGGTGCTTACAGGGCACGCTCATCAACAGCTGGGACGGCGTGCGAGTGAACGCGCTGTGCTGCCGCGCCGACGGCCGCTCCGTGCTCGCCGCCGACACGCACCACCGCGTGCGGGCCTACGACTTCACCGACCTCACCGACAGGAACCTGTGAGTTGCCACCGACCCTACTTACTTGACTACGACTTCACCGACCTCACCGACAGGAACCTGTGAGTTGCCACCGACCCTACTTACTTGACTACGACTTCACCGACCTCACCGACAGGAACCTGTGAGTTGCCACCGACCCTACTTACTTGACTACGACTTCACCGACCTCACCGACAGGAACCTGTGAGTTGCCACCGACCCTAGTTACTTGACTACGACTTCACCGACCTCACCGACAGGAACCTGTGAGTTGCCACCGACCCTAGTTACTTGACTACGACTTCACCGACCTCACCGACAGGAACCTGTGAGTTGCCACCGACCCTAGTTACTTGACTACGACTTCACCGACCTCACCGACAGGAACCTGTGAGTTGCCACCGACCCTAGTTACTTGACTACGACTTCACCGACCTCACCGACAGGAACCTGTGAGTTGCCACCGACCCTAGTTACTTGACTACGACTTCACCGACCTCACCGACAGGAACCTGTGAGTTGCCACCGACCCTACTTACTTGACTACGACTTCACCGACCGACCTTCAGCTATGTAGCAGGTGGGATTAGAGCACCTTCTTTGATGGTATTACTTTTTTGAATTCAGTTATATACATAGTTATATATGTATATAAGTATTAATATTTATTGTAAGGCTACTGTTATTTGAGAGTTAAACATAGTGTATTTAAGAGGTATAGAGGTCAATGAGGTGTGTGTGTGTGTGCGCAGCATCCAGGAGGAGCACGCGGTGATGGCGATGACGCTGAACGCCGCGGACTCGCTGCTGCTGCTCAACGTGGCCAACCAGGGCGTGCACCTCTGGGACATACGTCAGTACTCACCTACTTATACCTTACTTCTTTAGACTTAGTATGTTATGTGTTACTATGCCATGCGGTTTTGCTTTCCACCAATTAAATATATTAACTGTAATTTCGTGATGTGATTTATGTCCGTGTGGTGACGGATTGAAAATACGGAGTGTCACCAGGAGCCAACAGCACTGCAAAGAGAAGGAAACCTTGAAATAAACCCTATACTATCTTGTCTTGCAGATTTCAATACATTCAAATCCATTTAGTGATTGTTAAAATCTATTATACAAAAATACAGTCAATTATTAAGACTTCCATTTATATATTGTGTTAAGATATTTAATGCAAAATAATTAAATATTTCCACTACTTTTAAACTGACATTACAAGAAATGGGCAAATAATTATGCGAGTATAAAAGTCTGCACTTTAATAAGCTGTTATCTCATGCGCTGTTTGATAGCGAAATGTTGTCGGTTTACAGAAAGGTGTAGTTTAATTTTGAAAGTGTTATGTGTAGCCTATAAATTGTTAAGTTCCGCAACGCGTTTGTGACTCCTGTGTTGCAGACGTTCATGGTCGGCGATGGTCACTTTCCATCAGATGACCCGTCTGCTCCTCTGACCCCTCTAACATAAAAAAAAAGCCGTGTGGTGTCGTGGGACACCCGATAGGAACGAAGATGTGACGATCGAGTAAAACTTATTCGACACGATTTTAATTATAACGCCATCTATGAAATCGGCTATTACCTACATATTTTTCAGTTGGTTTCTTATTAAAACAATTCATACATTGGTAAAATCTCGTTGAGAAATGATGTCGAATACAATATTTTTTGCTCAACCTAAGAACATAAATTTTAATTTTACTTTGATGAAAAGTAATGATTTCCTATCTATTAGATGGATGGCGCTGAATGACTGACAAGTGACAATTCAAAATAAAAAGTGTCGTTACTACTTTTCTTGAGAATTTTTTTCCGTCTAGCCCCCTTTCACAACGCGCGATAAGGAACTTCGTTCCAAAAAGATTAGGCTTGAAAATTACTGTTCATTTTATTTTTGAAAAAGGTTTTTTTTTTGTGTTTTGTGATTTTCAAATAATATATGAAATCTTTGGTATAAGATTCATAAAATTTAATCTATGCCAAATTGAAAACCTTAGTCATATGAAAGATTATAATATCGGTATATTTACAAGTTTAATTTGTTAGTATTTTTGTTATTTAGTGTTTAGTTTTTCTACGGTTGAGGGGTAAACAAGCGGACGGGTCGTCTGAAGGTAAGTGACCGCCACTATGGACAAAGGCAACTCAATAGACACAAGTGCGTTGTCGCCCCTTGAGTGTAGAAAAGGGGGTAGGGGGGTTGGACTCCGGAATTATTTAACATGGGTTTTCTGTGAACCTGTGGTGTCACCCTACATCTTTCTGTAACACCCCTGTATATTTACACACAAGGGTGGTGTCTGTTATCTCGTGGTGTGTCCAGGGGCCCGCGCGCTGGTGCGGCGGTTCCGCGGGCTGAGCCAGGGCCACTTCACCATCCACGCCTGCTTCGGCGGCGCGCACCAGGACTTCATCGCCTCCGGGAGCGAGGACAACAAGGTAACTGCCCACCGCTCAGCTACGCACGTCTAGTGGTTAGTGACCCTAACTACTGAGGTGTTTGTGGGTTCGATTCCCACCCACGACAAATATTTGTGTACAGTCCCCCTTCCGTCCGAGCAGCTGTTGAGAGTAAACGTGTTTATAATTCGCTCTCAAAAAATAATCAGTTACAATAATTACTACCAGCCCATTTTCAACTTTGTTGGGGTAAGTGGAGTGCATATTATTGCTACGGCTTTATGACAACACGCGTGGTCCGCGCGAGCGGCCTCACCCCCGCTAGAACGAGAACACCCTCATAAATTCTCTCTCGTTTCAACGCGGCCTCATCCTGCGCCGACGGCTTTATCTCGGCCCCGCGCCCCCCGGCACCCAGTGTTGGCGCCTTCACCTCCGCTGGAAAGAAAACACCCTAATAATTTCCCTCTCGCTCTTGCGACTGCGAGGAGGTCCGCCTGCGGATGACTAATATTGTTGTGGCTTAAAAATCAACTGTGCGCTTCTCGATTTTCTACAGCTAATAAGTTTGACAACCTGTTAATTACTTATTATTGAGCTAATATATTCTACTATAACTGCAAATCTAGTATCTACCTGTTCTTTACTGCAATACTAAAATGTCACGGGCAAAATCCTCACCTAAGGCGGGCCGTAATAATAACCTAGTCCAAGTTCGATCGGAGACTGATTTAACTCGCCCTGTTGTCACCGATCGGGACAACATAAACACTATCGCGAGGCATAAACGCTTTCGCTCAGAGCATTCTCCATCCGATGAACTTTCTGCCTTTAGGGAGGATATCAGATATATGTTAAAGGAATGGAAAGAGGAACAGGACTCCCGTCTAACCAAGTTTTGTGACCAACAATCAGCTAGTTTGAATCGTTTGATGGTAGACATTGCCGAGCTCAAGAACCAAACTACTTCATTGACTAAGTCAAATGCTGAGATAGAGAGGTCTATGGTTTTTATTAACAGCCAATTCGAAGATGTGAAGCAACAGATTGCCGAGTTACAAAGAGAAAAGGAAACTTATAGACATTGTATTAGTAACCTTGAGACTAGAATACAGGATCTTCAGCAAACGTCGCGCTTGTCTAGCATCGAACTTCGGAATACTCCGAGTAAAGAAAATGAAATGCCATCTGACTTATCATCTATTGTCACTAAGGTTGCAGAAACCATGAACATGACGATTTCAAAATCGGAAATTCGCGATGTTTATCGTCTTCCAGGTAAATCGGCAACAGCGCGACCGATTGTTGCTGAATTTAACAGTGTGCAGACGAAAACCTCTCTTTTGGCGACTGCTCGCATTTTCAATAAAAACCGGTCGAAAACAGAACTTTTGAATACACATACTATAGGTTTAGTTGGTGAACACAGACCTATATATATTGCGGAACATTTGCCGGCTAGCTCACGGAAATTATTTTATAAGGCAAGGGAGTTTTCCAGACTGCATGGCTATATGTTTTGTTGGACAAAAAACGGCAGTATCTATCTTCGAAAGGAAACTGGAACTACACAAATACGAATTATATCGGAGCAGTCACTAGCAGACCTGGAGATAAAAAAATAATAATCTTATATTATGTACTGCGGATTGTATTTTTTAAAATTTGTCTAACTTCGCTCGATATTGTATCTTCCAAGCACAGTGAAGAGTCTGTCAGTTGTTTGAAGAAAGCGACCTTAAGTCTGAATACTATTACTTATAATACTGCTATGTTTTTATACAATATACTAATATACTACTCTTATAATAATATACAATACCATAAATACACACTACACAATACAATTGTTCTATCCCAACTTACTTACACTTACCTCAAACTCTATGACATGTCAGAAACATCTTCAGGTAATAAGGAAACCACCTATAAAATAAATATATCATTATCTCACAACAAGTATTCAACACTCGGACGGTGTTGGGGTCATACTGTCGTATGTCTACACATTGTCCAGTGCTATTGCTATTCAAATAAATACTTATGGATAATACAACTCTGATTACGTATGACCTAGACAGACTTTCTGTCTCAGAATCCCTAATATGCGCCCCTGAACACTGTGTTGGTATGACAAAGCAACCTGCTGAGTCCTGGAAAGTGCTTCACGTCAACATCAGAAGTATTTCAGCGAATTTTGATGAGCTTATAGTACTTTTGCACAGACTGGACAATCTCCCCGAAATCATTATTTTAACAGAGTGCTGGCTAAGTAAAATATCTAACCTACCAGCTCTTACCGACTTCATTTGTTACTCCTCAAAATTTACAAACCAAAACGACGGTGTGGTAATTTATGTCAATAATAAAATCAGTCATATTGTCTCTGAACCTGAAATCGCTGATGCCAATTGTCTCATTTTTAAACATAAAAATGATTTTGCAATTGTTTCAATATATCGATCCCCCTCTTATAGGAATATTGACAGTTTTATAGACTCATTGGACCTAATACTAAAATCATTAAATTTATATAAATGCCTGGCGCTAATTGGAGACTTGAACATAAACATAACTCCACAAAATAGGAACAATGAAACAGATCAATATTTAAATATGACCTCTTCCAATGGTATGCTACCTGCCCATCTACTACCCACACGCAACCAAAATTGTTTAGATCACGTAATACTTAGAACCGACCACAAATCTACCACATATATTCTTGACTCTCATATAACCGATCATGCTCCTATATTTTTCTCTTGCGACCGTTCAACCCTCGCTGAAACCAAACGTTGCCAAACCACTAAGCGTACTGACCCTGCAGCCATTAGCCAACAGCTGGAGGAAATCGATTTTTCTCCGGTTTTATCTGCAGGAAATGCTGAGGTGGCATCGGAGGCGTTGGTTGCTATTCTGACTAATGTCATTAGTTCTCATACCACAACTATTGCGTTATCACACAATCGGCGGTTAATTAAACCCTGGATTACACCCGGTCTATTGCGTTGCATTCGCCACAGGGATAAGTTACAAAAAAATACAAAAAAGGAGCCCTTGAATCAAACTTTAAAATTGACCTATAACCGCTATCGCAACTTTTGTAATAATCTCCTTAAGACGGTTAAACAGAACTACCACAAAATAGAACTACAAAAGGCCGGGGGTAATACCAAGACTACCTGGAACATACTCAAAAAAATTACTAATACCACTAGCGACAAATCTGCACCTATATCACTACTTAAACACCATAGGGATCCGTCTACAGCCGTTAGTAAGGTAAACGAACATTTCGCAGGGATAGGTGCTAAACTGGCGAATAACCTCATGACTCGATCTAGCCGTCAACAAACTCCTAATGAGCTAAATGCACTAATTTATCGCCCACCTGTTCTACACTCAATGTTTCTGACTGAGGTTGATGAGTCTGAACTTGAACAGATTATATTAACACTAAAAGATAACACAGCACTAGGGTGGGATAGAATCCCATCATCTGTTATTAGAACCTCAAGGCACGTACTTATACCTGTGCTCAAGCATGTTTTTAATTTATGCCTGTCTTCGGGTGTCTTTCCAAAGGTATTCAAGAAAGCTCTTGTTCACCCTATCCACAAGAGTGGAGATAGAGACAGTATCGATAATTACAGGCCTGTACAAGCAAGTTGCACATTGCGAAATGCGCTACGCATTCGGTATCATAAGCTGACATACATATATAATTAGTGTAGTTATATGTAATAATTTAGTACAATAAAAGCATTCAACCTTACACGTTGTCTCAATATCAAGTACTCATAACAACAAGCATTTTATCACTAAATGCAGAGAAACACCTCTACATTATGGTCCTTCGATTTATTGGTTGAAAATCTATCGAGTGTATTTTTGTGAAGTGTGTATAGTGGTGTGTAACGAAAGTAGCGAATCGGTTGGCTGGCCTCCCACAAGCGGGTCCCACCAGTTCAATTGAGAAGGCGCATAATACTTTCGTGAGACTACGAGCACACACGAAGCAACAATTCGGATTGGGACGAAATAGCAGCCTGACCGTTTGATACACGTACCTCGAAAGATCAATCAAGCAGCACCAGCATATTTATCATTATCAAGCACCAGTGAACAGTCCTACTAATTTCTTATCAAGCAGCAATCATTTTATTTCTCTTATTTATCTCTGTTTTATCATCACTTTCCAAATTACTTGAAAAACTTTTAAACAAAAAATTAATACAATATTTAGAGAAGAATCATTTACTCGCAAAATCACAATATGGTTTTAGACGTGGAAAATCCGCTGAAGATGCGGTCCTGGATGTAAGTAATGGGGTTATAACTAATATTGATAAAAATACAAAAACCATTGGCTTATTCCTTGACTTATCCAGGGCATTCGACACTGTCTCTATCCCCCTCCTTCTACACAAGATGGAATCACTTGGGATCCGTGGTTTGGCTCTTGAGATTTTTGCCAGCTACCTCAGAGACCGCACACAAAGTGTAGTAATAGATAATATCACTAGCTCTGAGGTTCCACTGACCTATGGGGTTCCCCAGGGAAGTGTAATCGGTCCCACTCTGTTTCTTATTTATGTGAATGAGCTTTGCTGCCTTAAAGTCAAAAACTGTAGAATTGTTTCCTTTGCCGACGATACTGTCCTGCTAGTGGATGGACCTACCTGGAACTCTGCACGTGGTAATGCTGAAATCGCTTTGAACTTGGTAATGCAATGGCTCGAAATAAACTTACTCACCCTTAACCTAGAAAAAACCAGGTTCATGACTTTTTCCCCAAATGCATCTTCCCAACCGCCACCCTCATTCGAAATCAAGGCACACATATGTAGCTCCCTTAACACCTACAACTGCAGTTGTCCATCTATAGTTCGTTGTAACTGCATTAAATATCTTGGGGTAATAGTCGACAATAATCTTACTTGGAATTTTCAGATTGAACAAATTGTTACAAGGGTTAGAAAGTTGTTGTATATTTTTAAAAAGCTGAGAAATGCTACAGATCTTAACACCATGAAGATGGTCTACTATGCGCTAGTTCAATCTATAATCGGTTATTGCATTACGTCCTGGGGTGGTGCTTGCAAAGCATATATGGTTCGTTTGGAGAGAGCTCAGAGATGTATACTTAAGGTGATGACTGGTAAGCCTAGAAGATTCCCTACGTCTGAGCTTTACAGTATCTGTAAGGTACTAACGGTGCGGCAATTATATATACTGCGGGCTATTCTGCGTAAGCATACTGCCTCCCCGTATGACATTAATTTTATTAAAAATACACGTAGATCCGACAGAGTACATTTTAGTATACCACATAGAACTGCTCTGGCATCCCGGCAGTTTTACTTTCTTAGCCCCAAACTATATAATAGGGTTAATAGGTTGCTAAATATATATCCCCTAACCTATAAAAAATGTAAGGACAAATTGATAGTGTGGCTTCTTTCCTTAACGTACAGTCAGTCTGAAGATATCATAGCATGAAAACGGATACACCTTACACTCATCACATGTACACTGACATCCACTCGCCTACACTTAACATACACTCGCCTACACTTAACATACACTCAAACACCATTTACACAAGATAGGTACCAAAACACATTTAATTACTCATTGTAAAATTGTAAACTTAGTTGTAAGTACTTGTACTGTTGGATTCGGATGTGGGCGTTAATGGCTACGACACAGTTTATACTACTGTAGCCATTATCGTATAATTATTGTGAAAATGTAACAAGGTTTTGAATAAAGTATATTATTATTATTATCTTTATTTACTTTATATACATATTATTTACATTTTTAAATATACACTTTATAAAAAAAATACATTTAAAAATATAAAAAATAGTAGACCACCGACATCGGGTACAGGGACCAAGACACCGGTGGTTAGGACTCCAAAGATAGGAACCTCCTCACTATACGAGCCGTGTCAAGGAGGACTGCCTTCTGCATCAGACCCTTGATCCAGCCATCCAACGTGAGCCTCTTAAGGTGTTGGTCGAGGCTCTTGGCTATCAATCCATGAGCAGATACGACTATCGGAACAATGATCACTGAATCAACATTCCACATATCGACAATCTCGTGAGATAAATCCAAATATTTAATTTGTTTTTCTTTTTCAACTTTCACGAGATTCTCGTCATGAGGAACGGCGATATCAACAATCATTGCGCGGCGCTCTAATCGATCTATCAACACAATATCAGGCTTATTGGCAACAATAGTCCTGTCTGTGATAATAGATCGATCCCAATACAACGTGGCCCGACCATTCTCGAGAACTGGGTCGGGCACATACCTATAGTATGGCACCTCTAGATTCACAAGATGGTATTTAAGGGCAAGCTGTTGGTGTACGATCCTGGCTACTTGGTTGTGCCTGTGCAAATATTCTCCGTTAGCAAGACGAGAACAACCAGAAATAATATGCCTGATTGATTCGCCAGGACGGTGGCATGCCCGACAGATGTCAACCGTACCATCTTTCAGGATATATTTCCGATAGTTATTCGTCATGATAACTTCGTCCATAATCGCACAAACAAAACCTTCAGTTTCTCCAAAGAGATCACCATGCCGTAGCCAAGTCGTAGATGCTTTTAAATCTATATCGGACCCGTTTAGGGCCCGATAAAACCGACCATGGAGCTCTTTGCCCTTCCATACTTCCCTGCGATCATTAACACCAAGTACTACAGGTCTGCGCCAATTCTCTTTAGCCAGAGCGAGCGGGGTGAAGCCGGTATCCACTGCAACTACATTGCGATGCACTCCCACGTCGGTATGTAGAAAATATTCTCTGAGATTGCATACCTCGCGATTATGTAGGGTCTTGATATTTAATAGACCGCGACCCCCAAGCTTTCGCGGGATATACAATCTCATAACTGATGAACGTGGGTGGTGCATTCGGGATGCAGTCAGCAGTGTGCGGACTTTCCTGTCAAGGGCATCTAATTCGGTCTGAGTCCATCTAAGTATACCAAAGGAATACATTAGAACCGGCATGACCCAACCATTGCAGGCTCGCACCTTGTTGCCCCCTGATAAAAGACTTTTAAGTACTTTTTTCAAGCGGCCAAAAAAGCGTTCCTGCAATGTTTGTTTCATGTTAGATTCTGGTATTCCCAACGACTGTGATATACCCAGATACTTGTAAGTTTCAGTGCCAGACAGAGATCTGAGTTTTGTTGAATCCAAAAGCTCTATTCCTTCAGATTCAACTATCACACCCTTCTTTACATACATGACTGCACACTTGTCTACACCAAATTCCATTTTGATAGAATTACTAAAGTTTTCCGTCACCTTTAGTAACTTTGTCAATTGTAATTTGTTGGAGGCTAACAGTTTCAAATCATCCATATAAAGAAGGTGAGATATAACTTGATCATCTTTCTGCAACCTATAGCCTAACCCTGAACCCTCTAATAAAGTGCTAAGAGGGTTCAAAGCCAGACAAAACCACAAGGGACTCAGACTATCACCTTGAAATATACCCCGCTCGATCTTTATTAGTACATCGTGTATCGCTGTCTGCCGACATCCTGGATAGCGAAGTGCCGTTCTCCATTGCCCCATACATGACTTCAAGAAAGTGCACAGAGTTGTATCAATTTTATACAACTCCAGCACCTTCAAAAGCCATGTGTGTGGAACCGAGTCATAAGCCTTCTTATAATCTATCCAACACGTCGCCAAACTCTTACGATTACAACGTACCTGTTGGCTAATGGTTATTATTATTATTATTATTATTATTATTATTGTGTGATGTGCACGATCGTTTGTTCTTTGTCTGGGTGTAGTTTATCGTAAACGTTACGTTATAAAAGTACGTTTACCAGAAGTCTGGTTACCACAGTAAGCTCACTTTAGTTTGAGATCAGACGGCAGAAAGGCTGAATAGATCTGGATGGAATGTCGTACAGAGATAGATAAGCACTTAGAGTAAGCGTACACCGGTGGAGTGGCGTCAAAGAGCAGTTTCTTAGTCGCAACAGGAACATCATTTTTTACGTCCATTTTCAAATTATGTTTAGGAGTCGACGCAATGTTTAACATTCCTTAGAATTTTGGATCCTCAGTTATTTTTATTTGTTTCAGATTTATTTAAGAGAGAGCATTAAAGGTGTTAGGACTATGCATAACCTTTATATATAATAATATACTACCTCACACACGGCTGTCTGATCCCAAACTAGGCTGAGCCTGTGCTATGGTAACCAGATTGCTGATAAACATACTTATATATTTTAAATAATATTATAGATAAAGTACACCCAGACACAGAACAAATGACCGTGCTCATCACACAATATTTGTCCTGGGTGGGAATCGAACCCACGACCTCTGGCTTAGCAGTCAGGGCTACTGACCACTAGACCAACAGGCACGTCAAGTTATGTACTACCAAATGTAAACATGTCAATATTTAGCCTATAACATAACATACAAATTTATTTTTCGAACTCATGAAGTTGCAACCAAAATGTCACTAATGCGACACTTTGCAATCGTTCATATAAATAAATTAAACTTATAAAGGTACTTAGAGGCCAGCTGTTAACACTCAAAATATTTAATGGACTAAAATAAAAAGCAAAATAAATAATAAAAACTAAAATAAATAAACCTAGGTCGGCTGTAGACACGCCCATTATTTGACGGGCCTGTTGGTCTAGTGGTTAATGACCCTGACTGCTAAGACGGAGGTCGTGGGTTCGATTCCCACACAGGACAAATAATTGTGTGATGAGCACTATCATTTGTTCTGTGTCTGAGTGTAATTTATCTATGTTATGTATATATTTAGAAATATATAAGTATGTTATAAGCAGTCTGGTTACCATTGTACAGGCTCTGCCTAGTTTGGGATCAGACGGCCGTGTGTGAGATGTGTGAGGTTATTATCAAGTATTATCAAAATTCTTTGTGAATGTAATGCCTTAGATTTTAAGTGGTTGAACCCATATATAACTTGTAGAGGACTTTTCTCAATAAATTATTATCATTATTATAAATAATTATTTTCTACATGCAGGTGTACATTTGGCACATTAGCGGTGAAGAGCCAATAGCTGTGATCTCCGGCCACACTCGGTGCGTGAACTGCGTATCTTGGAACCCGGTACACCACGACGTGCTGGTCTCCGCCTCCGACGACTACTCCCTACGCCTGTGGGGCCCCAGGACCCATCAGTCCTAGTACCCCTAGACTAGCGCGTACCGGATGTTCAGTAGGAGGTCTGGTACCGTCGGTATCCTCGAGGGCGCCTTCTCACGAGGGGTTTGCTGACTCCGCCGGTAACTCACTTACCATCGACAACGAACCTAGTTGACGACTAAAGACTTGAGGGATTTTAGTTGAAAGCAAGACACAACTTACGTAGGAAATGCTCACCGAATCTAATAATTGAAAAAACTTAATTTTAATTGTGGGTCTTAATTATATTCTTTAATTTATTCACACACAATTCGGATGATAAAATACATTTAAATTTGTCAACAAGTTACCGAAGATAATGACTACGTAAAAAAAGTATCTTTTTTCTTGAATTCAGTTCCAAAACGTAAAATATTCCATACGGAAGCTCGTGTCTGCTGGAAACTACAAGTTCCTATAGTCAACATATTTTATTTTAAATGCAATGTGAACAGATAAGTGTTACTAGTCTAATAAAAGCAGATGGTATTTAAGTTACTGGCAAGTAGGCCTCGTCCACGATACACTCAAATCTGAACCTTGAGTGAGAGCCATGAGGTGTTGTTTTCTCCTGATATGTAAGTGTTCAGATTGTTGTGTATCGTGTGCAGACGACGCGTTGAGACTCGACATACTCAGATCGCGTTGTGACCATCGCGGCACGGGGAGAGTGACGTCACCGTTGTGACGTGTCTTCGTACGAGGTGTGACGGGAACATATTATTGTTTAATTATTTCAAATTCAAAATTGTATACACTACAGATGTGGTTGCCATACAAATTATTTATTGTATATTAACAAGCGTTTTTGTTAAAATCGCACATATCTGTTAAATTTATATTATTACGTTTGATAAAAATTTATTTCTATTTTGATTAGAAGAGTAACCGACTTCAAAATCAAATAAACCGCAACTTACAGTAAAGGAGAATCCTTCAAACAGGTTTATGAATAACGAAGATATCTTCATTCTTTTTAAGTCGGTTAAAGTCGGAGTGAAGTTGCCTGTGTGTGAACTGACAGTTGTGGCGATGAAGTATATTAGAGTTTAGATTTATATTAAAAAACTAAATTAAGGTTGGTAATGGACTATGAGTTAGCCTAAACTGTGGGCTTGTATTCCCAGCGGTGGGCCACCGGCCTGTAACGCGAAGGTCGGAGTATCGTAGTGTCGGCTACTCTCCCCGCGCTCTCGGACACTAGGGATAATTTATTTAAGTCTCTTCGGTTTAATTAATTAAGACTTAGTGTTACTCTCGAATCATGCAGTGGACGTTCAGAATTACTACGATTATATGATTTATATGGCTCATATCTTTTTCTATTTGCAGTAAATAGAAATAGACATTACTGAATGATGTGCTGTATATGCTGGATACGGAAACGAGGCATAATCTCTCTTATCTATATATGAATATGTGAAGAGAATTCTTTGTATTTGAAATACTTGAAGTTTACGTATAGAAGAAGTGCAGAAACCTAATAAATATGGCTACATCTAGCTGCGTAATTCTGTGATCGTATGACGGGCCTGTTGGTCTAGAAGTTAGTGACCCTGACTGCTAAGCCGGAGGTCGTGGGTTCGATTCCCACCCAGAAGAAATATTATTTGTTCTGTGTCTGGGTGTAATTTATCTGTAATATGTATGTATTTAAGAAATATATAAGTATGATTATCAGCAGTCTGGTTACCATAGTGCAGGCACTGCCTAGTTCGGGATCAGACGGCCGTGTGTGAGATATATTATTATTATCGCTGTGTAAAAAAATTATGGTCAAAAATCTAGGTATCTTGGCCACCATACGATCTTGAATTTAAAATAAAAATATCACCGAATTAAAAGTGCAGGTCAAACTTGACCCCAATGGCGTTTACGACAAAGTTTGAATTCCCGTGGCCCGTGAACCGTCTAGTGGTTGTCAACTGCATGATGCGTGAGTAGAAACACATAACACTATATATCAGAGGGTATATTTTGTAGCGGTGCCCGTTGCACTCTCGCCTCTATTTTTATACCGATCACGAATCTCTCAAGAGGTTACGACAAAGCCGTTATGCTTGACATGTTCCAACTGACGAATTTCAAATACCGACCAATCGGAGGACAGTATTTGTAATCGAGCGCTCCGATTGGTCCCACGTCATAGTGATGTACAGCTCTAAAATTTAAAATTAAACATATTCTAAAAGCGTGTGTGAATTTTTTCCTATTGTTTTGATTAATATGCGGTGTTATGTGCGACGGACAATGGTATTGTAAGTAAAATATATATGACTATAACTGGGCCAATTACACTAGTTCAGAAACTTGTTATCTCCTCTTCTAATTAACACTATAGTTCATTCGCTTTAAGAAAATAGTGACGCATTAGTCAAGCCCCGCCCCCTGACCAATCACGTCCCAAGAAATTATCGTTTCGTACGAAAGCTTGGAGCCCGATTGGCCAAGGTTGCTTGGTCGATGCGTGACCATTTACTTAACCCGAATGACTATAGAAGCAACTTCAACTGTGACCGGTCCCAAACAGTACGTAAACTGTTCAAATGAAATGTCACAACTGAAATAAGTAGCCCAAATATAACTGTTTAAATGGTGACGCATCCCTGCCCCTTTCTGCTCTATGATGTCATGACGTGTCAATGCAAACACGCTGTTTACATTATATTACTTAAAATATCGTTGTTTTTACACTATTTAATTGGTGAGACTGTCATGCAAGGTTGATGTACTGTCGATAAATAAATATTAGTGTATTGTTGAGGGTTGCAGGTTCTCGCACCACAAGAGTTGTATAAACCACGTAAAATATTATAGGTAAAAAAAATATTCTTTTTTATAATCCCTCAAGAATGTGTTAATTATGTGTATGAATGTGCTTTGATTGAGAGGTAATGTACCTACATGTGTTTTGATAATGTTCTTATAGCAATAACTATTGTTCTAAAAATCATTCGTCATTAGAGAAATAACAATTTTTAGATTTGAAATTAATATTAAATAGTATTTTGTTAGGTATCGGTAAAAATTTAACATACTAAAAAGCGATTTTTACAACAATGCATTGAAATATATTATTCAGTCAAATTCACCAAACATATTCAAATGAATTTGTTAAAAAATACTAAAAATCCTTTGATGTCAGATTCTGTTATTTTAGTACATAGGGCCACTCGATGCGGCGTTTATCCAATTCTAGTGGTGGAGCACCAGAAGTCGTCCACATAAGATTGTCAGGGCTAAGTGTAACGCGCTTGGAACGAACTCCTGCGCAGACCGGGGGAACCAAATTATATTATGATCGACGCGTTTGTAATTCGTATTTTCTTTTTGATTGATTTTACTTTATTATTTAGATGTACTAATTGTAGCTTTGTTCGCACAATGCCTTTTCCGATACACGGAATAACAGGAACTTGTGACCGCTTGCCTCGTTTCGGAAGTCACGGTATTTTTCAATAGAGCGACCCAGAATTTTTTTGAAGTGTTCATGCGTAGACTGCGGAGGCTTGCAAGCGGTGTGCGTGGAATCCAATAGTGGAATAACATGGATTTGTGAGATTCTATTGATGAGAATAGGTAAGGCATGCGATATCTACACATCAGTAAATACGCACAAGTTTTAGAGTTAAACTGAAGTCAGAACTTGCAGGTTTTATACACTAAAAACAGCATTGTGGCAGTAATGCGGCTAGCTAATGCTGTACAAATCTCTACTATAGTCTAAAGGCTGAGTCAGACAACACTCGGGGCGACGGCGACGTGGTGTGAGCGGTTGTCAATACCAGCCGGCTGGTACTCTGAATACACAGCGACACTAACTCAAGTCGCGTCGTCGTCCCACCCGTCCGGTGTCTGACTCGACCTTAATTATAAAGATCACTGAAATATACTCTGAATGGTAGATATATCATGTCTTTCCATCGCCACGTGCGTTATGACAAGTTCGGATAAGGCGGAGGCATCTGAACCAAATATCAGGCAATAATGCGTGTGTTTGTGTGTGTAGAAGTACAAAGGTTGAGTGTTCGGTCATTGTCGATAGCTATATACCTAGACTTGTAACGGTCGAGCGACGCGGGGCCGGCCGGACAGCCGCCCCATTGCAATTGTTAAAAATAAATAATTATTATATCAATAAATTTTTTATTGTAAATTTGTCTTTCATTATTGCCCATATTAACAGTGTTGATAATTTCCCCCCTTTATCTACACTCAACAGAAAGTTACAAAAATATTGAGGTGTCATAGAGCATCAAACATTTTTTTTTGAAATGAACTCTCACAGGACACATCACCCATACGTTTTATATATGTTTTTATTCTATGATATTTGCAAAAAAAAAAAAAACAATTTTTATCTCTATACTAGCTGACCGGCGCAACTTCGTCTGCGTCTCTCAATAGTAATAAATTTTCTCCGTTTTTGAAACATTCTTTATTGATGCTCCGCTCCTATTGGTCTTAGCGTGATGATATATAGCCTATAGCCTTCCTCGATAAATGGGCTATCTAACACTGAAAGAATTTTTCAAATCGGACCAGTAGTTCCTGAGATTATCGCGTTCAAACAAACAAACAAACAAACAAACAAACAAACTCTTCAGCTTTATAATATTAGTATAGATTACATTTAGGGCTCAAAACTATTATATCTTTGAACTAAGATCTGAAGTTCAGAAGTTTTTAAAATAAATCTTTTAATATCAATAACAATATACATTAACTTAGAGTACTAACTTAATAATATCCATGATTATAAGTTCCCTGTGCCAGACTTCTCGACCAGTTCCAGTAGAGTATGCAGTGAAGTGTCGAACAGTTCACACCTGATAGGCATTTCGAGGGAGTAGAAGGGATTTTTGAGCGCGTAGTCAGAATATAGCTCGTAGATTCGCTTGAGAACAACTTCTGACCCTTGCATGTTTGGGTCTGTCACTATTATGAATTTTACGCCTGAAAATAGTTGGTCAAAATGAGATTTATAATAAATGACTACGATAGCTAACTGTAGCTCTGCTTAGGGCTTCTAAATGATTAGTTTCAAGGCTTACTTTTTTGGAAGTTCAAACAAGCTTTCAAACAAATGAATAATTGGCATATTAATATATAACATATATAGCAACTAGCCACTAAGCAACTATAATATGTTGCTATATTAATATATAGCAACATATTATAGTTGCTTAGTGGCATACATGTAAGTTCCCTGGAATTGCAAGTAACCATTGGTGACAGCTTACCATGAGGTGTGTTATATTATGTTGGACTAGATTTTGCCCAGCGACATCGCCCGCGTGTATGGCGGTAAAAAGTAGCCTATAGCACTCAGAGATAATATACCTTTCTAACATTAAAATAATTTTCAAAATGTATCAATAGTGGCGGAGATTACCCCGAACATGCAAACTTTCCCTCTATACATTAATAGCATTGACTGCATGAAAGAACAATGGCAGGTCCCCATACATCATTTTATTTGAACTGAAATGTTAACGTTTAACTATCAAATAATCCTTAACACTGGAGAATTTATTCTTGACCATTCTCATACCAAAATTACTAGCGAAAGAGGTCTAGGAAAAAATATATTGGATTTTGAATGTTTCGAGATTAAGTACTAACATATTGTTAATGTTTGGTTTGATACTAGATGGCGTTGTGTTCAGATAGCCGAAAATATGTTTATCATTATTATTACTCATAAACAATCCTATTTTGCTGTTGAAAGTGTTAGCCGACTCCCTAAGAGGGTGGAGGTTATTTACCAATACAGGGTAAAACAGTAGAAAAAGTCTTCGGTTACCAAGCAGGTGTAATACCAGCTATGAATAAATAAATCAATAATAAATAAATTATAAATAATAATTCGAATAATTGTACTTCAATACACATTTACACAAGGCAGAAGCAATTTATTTACTTATTCGACAGCTAATAATTGCTACATTATTTACTAATATCTAAAGCATTCATCCACTATATTGAAATTAATGCACAACATTTAAAGGCATCACATCATGCATAACAGAGTAAAACTATATGAAATAAAAAATAGAAAATCATAACATCTATGCGAGTTTGACACTAAATTCAACAAAACTAAAATAACAAACGTGGTGAGTCCGGAACTTGACATTATCTAAAAAATGAATGAAAATATCGATGTATGGCTATATTTTATGTGCCGTTATCAATGACAATGTATTTTTCTCATCACACTGTGTAGTTTATATTTTTTATGTCGGAAAATAACGTAACTATATTCTATTTCTTTAGTGTGTTTAAAATCGTTTAAAGAGAGTCAAAAATATTCTAAATTATTTCTAATTATGTTGATTCAGTCACTCTACCGTACGAGTAAAGCCGTGGGCCGGAGCAAATTCATAATCATAATAGGTAAACCTTCGGTAGATATTTCAGCCAAAGCTATAAGAATCGATTATCGATAAATATAATATTGTTCCAAAATATAATATTGCCACCATCCCTAGTCAGTTATACGTGATGGGGAATCTGACATTACGCACTTAGGTCAAATCAAATCTTCAAAAATATCCTATTTCCTTATAAGACTTATACAACACACGGTAGTGTTATGATAAATCATAGAAAAAATATTGATTAAGTTTACTGTGTCTCGATTTTTTAAACGCTTAAGTTATAGGTAAATCTGTTTCTGCCATTGTTCTTTACATACTGGCACATGAACATGATGCCATTGTATATTTCTGTTATTTAAAAAAGAGTGGCCGTGATTTTGTTTGCCCTTTCTTCTCACAAGGCTCAACCCCTTGGAAATGGGCGGTTGTAGATCACATCACATCACACATAAACAGCCTATAATAGTCCACTGCTGAACATGGTCTCTCCTTAGAAAGGAGGTTGTAGATCGGCACAGGCATAAAATCCATTTTCGATACATCAATATTTAGTTTGCTAAATATTTGACAATACAGAGATTGTTGCTATTGTGTGTTGATCTATGACTAGTCTACACAAGAGACGTTTTCAATTTTTTTTTATTTTTAATAAAGATAATTTGAGTTTGCCTCGAATGTGTACAGGAGAAAATGGCTTCTGAATGATAAAATGACACACATATGTGATTTATACAATAAATTTTCAGTGCAGAAGATATGAGGTTATTTGCTGACTAACAGAAAATCAGAAAATCAATCTTTCTTTCAAAGTTAAGTAATTTTCTCAGAGTGAGAGGTTACAAGAGGCCAGAAAACCCCTTTCTAATTCTAGGGTAGAAAATTATTACTGCTGTAAAAAATACAGAAATAATGATCCAAAGTTGGGTTTTTACCTTAATATATGAAGGAAATCAAATGCATTAATTAATACATACCTGTCAAAGTTTGAAAACAAGACAATTTAAAGGTGTCCGCTGTTAGAGACTCAATACCCGAGCACTTGGGTACAGGACTGAGCTGGCTGGCGAGGGCAAACAGTGGGTAGAACATACTAGCTAATACTATTTTCTCATTAGTTGTTGCTCGTGCTCGGCCAAACTTCAGACTTAATGGGTAATTTTCCTGAAAACAAATTGAAAAATAAACCTAGAATAGATTAAATGCCATTGTACACCATTTTTCGTTTTTACACCAGTACATCAAATAATTGAACATGTACAAATGGTTGCCTTATCACTAAAAAGTTATTTAAAACTGGCAATCTTTAGATAAAATGCAGTGTAACTGATTGAATTCATGAGTAGTTTCAGTATAAAAAGTGTAAAAGAATCATAAAATATTTATAAAACAAACAGCATTTTGTGATATCACTATAAGCTTAGTTCTGGTAATTTGGATATTATGACATTTTGAACAAGTTTTTTACTTACATGAAATTTCTATGATATTTCCATACATTAATTAACACTAAAGGATGTTTTAATTGACAGAAGGAACCCTATTCATAAAGGAAGTTTTTCTAAATTACTCTAGTCTGTAGTTTATCAAGAGTGAATAACCAGTTTTCTGCATTTAGATTATTGCAATATTTATTCTATTTGTTACTTACTTTTATTTCTACTACTTCGAATACATCTCTTCCGTCTTCTGTAGTGCGGCCGGTGACAGGGGATCCATTTACAGACAGCAAAACATGTCCCACTGAAATTTTACAAGCAGACAGTCTAGCTCCATATTTTTCTAATTTTATATAACTTCAGGGATTTATGGTGAAAGAAAACTTAGCGGGTTTAGTGGGGGCAGTTTTGATCATTTGTACCTACCATTTATTCCGTCTCTTTGTCCAAATGCGACGACAACTTTCTTATTTTCATATTGTAATTTAATATCAAGGGGATATCCAAACGTTTTCTCGGTTTCAACACGTGGAATGTTGTGGTCATAATTAAATATGAGTCCACCGGACTTAGAGACGATGTACACACCGTAAATTACCATTGTGATATTTTCAAATCCGCGAAAAATTGGATTTGAAATGATCAATAACAAAAATCAGCAGTAGTATTGAACTATTGACATTAGAGAGACACCCATCGCAAATGTTCGGAAACTACGATTTTCAGTACATTCTCACACATTCACAAAATACAGAGATTTTATCACATTTTTTTTTATTTAAAAACAATGAACCTATTAATGTTGAAAATTTTATCTGGAGTTATTCCAATTCAAATAAATTAGTATAAATATCACTGAAAATAAAGCCTTGTGTTTGATTTAGTAAAAAAGTTTTTGAACGTGTTGTCATTTTTGACGTGTATTGTAATAGAGAAATAAGCATAGAGAGAACACGGGGTACAGCCGCCTGTAAGCATAGAGAAAATATTAATAGAGGAAGCGAAGCGGTACCTAAGTGGTAGCGTACGGCCGGTAGACAGGGAATGAATATTCTTTTGGTCTTTCATCTTTCTTTGCTCTCTGCACTGATTGGCTGATTCTGTATCTCAATTAATTATTATTATCTACACAAATAAATAAAATTGAAGTATCTGTTTGTAATGTCAAAATAATAGGTTTTTAGGGTTCCGTACCTCAAAAGGTAAAAAACGAACCCTTAAAAGAACACTTTCTTGTCCGTCTGTCCGTCTATCCGTGTGTCACCACCGATTTTCTCAGGAACGGGTAGACTTAGCAAGTTGAAATTTATACCAGATACTAATGTCTATGGTCCCTATTAGGTGTATAAAAATCAAGGTCCTGAGTCAACACTATAAAAAAGATATTGGCAAATTTCGATTTTCGCGAAAACTTGTAAGTACCAAAATTTACCTTAATTTTCCACTTTTTTATTTTTCAGAATTTTCTCTTTACTTGTGCTGTAAGACCTTGCTTTTAACCAAAATTGACAATTCTAGGTCAACTGGAAGAACCCTATAGGTTTTGGGTCGAAAACCTATATGGTAGTTCCCGTTGACCAAGAATCACGAAATTTGGCAAAAATAAATGTCTTACAGCACAAATCAAACCGGAGGTCTTATAGACTGCAGTCGCGTACTGTACTACGTGGTGTAGTACGGTACGCAATTGTTTGTTAGTTATCTCAATATATCTGAAACATTACCAGTCATGTTTTTAACATTACCACAATACCTGAGAGCTTTCATAAACGGTCCCGATAAGTATTACTGACCCAAAAACCGTTGCCAACACAGGTAGGTATACTGCTGAATAAGTTTAAATATAACATTTCTGTAAGTTACAACTTAACTCATCTGTAAAGCCAAAGTTCGCGCAGTCATTCACCGATAACGACACCGTTACAAGGTATCACGTAACTATTATCTGGCCTCACGGTAGTGTCCCCGCCAAGTCGAGTAAAAAAGGAAGCCACAGTCTTACTTTTTTTTCTAAACTAATACAGAAAGCTTTCTTGCTAGCAAGAAGCTTCAGAGGGTCGCCCCTTTCACCGGGGTATCGGGGATTTCCTTTCTAGGTTACAGCTGGTGTCCCGACTACTGGTACCCGAGACGAAGTGGGGTTTTTAGTCACTTCAAGCCCAATACCTTTCCCACCAACAAGGTACATTTCAGAACTTTAATTAATTTTGCAGGACACCAGCATTGCAAAAAGAAGGAAAACTTGATACAAACCCTATACCAACCCGGCTGGTCAGCGTAGTATAGTGGGCCAAAACCTCCTTTCTAAGGAGAGGCCTATGTCCAGCAGTGGACTATTAAAGGTTGTTGATGTGTGATGATGTGAATTAATTTGAACCTTTATTTTAAGTACTATGCTAGTCAAAGTCCTTTAATTTCCTCAGTATTTTATTTATTATATTAATATAGTCTTACATTGACACGGTCGCTATAACAACTTTTCTTTCTGCAGTAGAAGAATTGCGTTGTAACTTGCGAGACTTGGTTTGTACAAGGTTTGTAGCCGATTCAATTATTCAAGGAAAATGGTCAGACTCATAGATATCATACTAATGTATTTATAATATGTATAAGTACGAGTTACATTTCCGCGAAAGCACCGGTCAATAGCTTAAAATTGTTTATCAAATTGTCAATGTTTACATACGACACGATTGAGTCTTATCGGTAATGGTTGTCATGTAATTTTACATTTTATTTTTATGTATGCATTAAAAGGGTTTTCGAACAGTAGCTGTTTGTAGAGCCTAAAGGGAAAAGGGTTCAATTTTATAAGAGATATCCTTATCCATTATTCCTTTCATCCTTATTATTACCGTGGGAGAGCCATGCTTCTGCACGAATAGGCCGGCACGACCGGAGTGATACCACGGCCTCACAGAAAACCGGTGTTAAGCAATTCTTACGTTGCCTTTATCTGAGTGAGTGAAGTTACCGGAGCCCAAATCTATCCTCCCGCTGATTGGAGCAGAAGGGACTCCAAGGGCGGCAACGCACTTGTGACTTTTAAGTTGCAGGTGTCATTGAGCGCTGTAGTTGCTTACCATCAGGCGACCCGTTTGCTCGTTTGTCCCCTTATACCATTAAAAAACTGGAGTGGAAACAGAAGTTAAGTATAGAAAGTTAATATGTTAATGTACTTTTAAACTACACTACTAAACTAAAATAAAATTAAAGACAAAGTTAAGACCTGTTTTTAAAGAGTTATTTACCTACACTCTTTAAAATAATCGTAACAATTATGTTAAAAGTCTTCGAGCCAATTATACCAGTGATAGTTATGATAGTAGGTACCTAGAGGCAATAGTTAGCAATAGATGAAAGCTGGCATAAGTCCCAACAAAGAAGTTGGTGTACTCCAAAAAATACAAGCGATAGAAAATGAAGAGTGAAGCTACATTCTTACGAAACACTAAGAAGATAAACCAGTCTGAAATACCCTGGCGATCGGTTGCTGTATCTACTGCTGGGCTCCTGCACTGTGGGCTGTTTCACTATAAATTCCAAAATAATGCAGAATTAGTAACTTTTAACTGATATAAGTCCACAATAATCCAAAAACGATGATGTAAAGGAATTTTCCGTACCGCAGAAGAAACACGGAGCGTTAGAAAGCGCTAAGCAATCTCTTTACTTATGGATTACAGCGGCCTCATCGGTATTTGTTTTATTTAAATAACACAATTTATTTTTATCAAACATTACTTCTAGTTTTATATTTAAATGTTATTAGCAGAAGAAACTTCCTACGTCGGGTTCAATCGGTTACAAATTAATTCTATTATAAAAACATGGTGTTAGATTGGGTAGTGTTTTTCTATTTCGTTTGCCCAATATTTTTTTTTGTATAATATTAGATAAACCCAAATAAAATAAACTCGGTGTAATTTAAAAGGTTAATTTTAAGTCTATGAACTCTTTAAAATAATCTTAATACTATTGCAAAAACACATGAAAAACATTATCACATTGATAGCTGAGGTATCTTCATTCATATGTTTATATTATTATGCAATATAGAAAATAATTGTTAAGTTCATTCACTCCTTCATGATACACCAATATAAGTCAACAAAACATAATACAACACAGAACACATATAACACATTTCGCCGTCCACTGATAAATGAAGCCCTCCCGAAGGTTGGACAGTACGCATCCATCCGCTGCCACTCGACTGCACGGATGGCGTAGTGGTTTAAGCGGTCGCCACGCCGCTTCCTACTACGCCGAGTGTTGTGGGTTCAAACCCCACATGTCACGACACTTTGTGTGATCCACAAATTGTTGTTCTGAGTCTGGGTGTTCTTTGTGTCCGTTTCATGTATGTTTGTAAAGTCCCCCGCGACACAGGATTTATTCCTAATGCGGGAGTTGTCTTTTTAAAAAAAACAAAACAAACAAAAAACTTTCTTTAAATCGCCGGTCCATCGTACGTTTACCTAACCGCGGTCTCCACTCTAACACATGTCGACTCCATCAGTGCGTCTGGAGACATGACTGGCCTACTTCCACTTCAGCGTACTGATCGTATCGATCGTATCGAATAACTTCATTTCGATGTTTTATCGACTAGAGCAGGCATTTCCAAACTATTGACAACTATTTGGGCAAGGGAAATTTTTCCGAAATGAACTGATAAGCCGCCATAGCCAAGATACTTTAAAATCATATCTTTAATTTTTTCCTGTTGATACAAAATAATTACCAATTTCAAAACTTTGCCGTTGGTTAAGTGAGTTAATTTGACATTATTTTCTCATTAAAATTTAACAAATACATATTAATTAGTCTTATAGCAAGTTGGTACACGTCACACCTTATACAGTATCAAATAAGAAATTGTATTAATTAATAGGGGTCGATTTTTAAACTCCGGCGACCCCCAAAGTCAGTTTTCGTCTAAGTCGACCCCTGGGAAACCAATTTCGACCACAAGAGGTCGATATCTACCACTTTGGGAATGCCTACTTTGTGAACCAGTCCCACCGTGAATGTCTGTTTATATGATACAGGGAAGCAAACAAGCAGATGGGTCACCTGATGGTAAGTGACTCCAGCCTCCCATGAACATCTGCAACCTGCAAAGATCTCTCGGCTCGATCCCTTGGCGTTACACAGAGATGTAGCCTCACTCTGCGTTCTCTATCGTATATATCAGGGAGAGTGCTCCGAGGAATTGTTCGGGCTAATACCGGCCGCAACTTTCCACCATCGATCCACACGGCAAAATTTTCATCCGCAAAACTTGGAAAATTGGCGCTCCACCACTGTGTGCTTTTAAGGCACTTTTTGCCTCACACAACCAATCTGGGGAATACATCATCATCTGCGGTATTTCTGGACCAATAAGACCTTGAAACTTCCAAGAAGAGAGCATACTCCTCCCTAAAAGGCCGGCAACGCCTTTGTGACTCCTGAGTGGCAGACGTTCTTCGGCGGCGGTGGTCACTTTTCATCAGGTAACCCGTCTGCTCGTCTGTCCCTCTAACTTAAAGAAGTCACACGTGTGTTACCGCCTTTTCAGTTCTTCGCCCCAGAATCAGGAGCAGGGGAAGGTTTGGGTTCTGATAACCTCACTCACTCAGTGAAATGTAATAAAAGAACAGAGCAAGTGCGAGTTTAATTCATTTCTACTCGATCGTAACGGTGACCGCTACGATTGGAAATTTCCACAAATCGCAGCTAATAAACTTGCACTGGGCCCTCTGCTTAACACCGGTTTTTTGTAAAGCCGTGGTATCACTCCGGTCGAGAAGCCTCATTTGTGTCGAAGCATGGCTCAGCTACGTCATTTTGCACATTGAATATTAATCTACACCAAATTTCATCGTGTATTTTAGATTTGGGTCATTTATTGATAAAGATTTTTATGAATTAAAATTACAGCTATTTAAATAGCAACGAGGAAAGCCGAGCCATCAATGAAATTATCTGTCACGTGTCATATTTGCATTTGTAATCCAAATGCAAATATGACACGTGACAGATATTTCAGGTAGGTGTTTTCTTGGAACCCTATCATAGAATTTAAGTGTTATCTCTAGTTGTTGTAACTTAATACTATTTATTTTATATTTTCAGACTTCTAACACACAACGCAATCTAGTTTCAAACTAAGCAGAGCTTGTACAGTGGTAAGTTGCAGGTGTCACAGTCACTTGTCATCAGGTGGCGCTACTGTTCATTTGCCTTTCTGTCGCTTTACCTAATGCGGGCTTTGTTTTTTTAAAGAAAAAAAAACTGCTTTTCTCTTACAATATATTCGTATAAGACTTTCTCATCTCAAATGATCCAAGTGCCCGGTTTAAAACACCTACTTTTTGTTACGGTTGTTATTTTTTAAATCATATTCATAAAAATTAATTATACCTATGCATACATAGGTTCCTCGTTAAACTACACAGCTTGTTAGCGAGATACGCTCCTTGACAACTTTATATCAATTACAAACATCTTAAAACTACATTATATATGTTAGTGTTTCTACGTAGTATATAAGTACTATGTACAATTACTAACCATAAAGCTAAATATATAGATCGACTGCTCCGCGCGAATGGACCTCACTGACAGTACTGTCACCTTCGCCAAGCAGTAGACCCTTCAACTTAAATTCAAATATATTTACTCAATTTATGTTTTGTTCTTAACAGTTCTATATCATTGCCTCGGTGTCGCAGTGGCGTATTCCGAGGTCTCGAGTTCGATCCCCAAGTCGGACCAAATATTTGTAAGCTCTGCAAATATTTGTTTCGGAGTTTAGGTGTTTTTATATGTGTATATTTACAAAAAAACATAAGTATACTATCAGTCAATTTCGTTTTAATAGTAAAAGATCTGCTTAGTTTGAAACTAGATGGCGTTGTGTGTTAGATGTCTGAAATATTATTAAATGTTTCGTTACGAGATATTCAGATTATACATTCATTGTGTATTCGACGTTACGAACTTACAACACCTTTACTAGATCTATTGTGTTTGAAATAAATCCTTTTCTTAATATGAATTCAGAATAAAGAAATTGTCAATAAAGTAAAGCTGAATTACAAAGCGCAGTAAGTGTTTATACACAAACAAAAGAGATTGTTACACGTTTCAGCAAGATTTCATCATCTGCCTGATGATGAAATCTCTGTTGATGTTGATGATGACGCTCTATAGTCGGTTCGAACCCGACATAACCATAGCCGTGTGGTGGGGGATAGCCGAGGGGATTTCCGCATCGAAAAATAATTAAATAAAAAGAAGGACAGAAAGTACCTAAGCTTTGATGTGATATTTTTAATAATTCCAATTATTTAAATTCTGCGATACTTAGCGCCATCTAGAGGGCTGCACTTGAAACAAGCAATGACCTATGGATGTTAAGTACATTTTTTATCTCTATTCAATTTAAATATATTTTTAAAATTGACTTTATTTCATTTAATGTATAGATTACAAGATAAAAAAACTGAATGAATTAAATAACGACCAATATGAATTTTAAATTTGTTATCTTAAAAATTATTTCATAGAATTATACCACCCAAATATATATATATATCTAGACCTGTTAAGTAAAGACAAACAGTAGATGAATGGATGCCGACAGAGTAGCATCGTGCGGTTGCGAGACACAAATACGGGCGCAAGCGCAGCGCAGCTTCCCAGAAAGCGTTTTCCTCGTCACAGCGCGCGGAGATCGCGCTGACGAATCGCCTACGTCACAACGTTGACGCGCTGTCGCGAATAAAGTATAAAAAGTAGCGTGTGCGCGCTGCGCGAAGCCTAGTGTTATTTGGTGCTTGGCGGGTTCGCAAGGTGTACACCCTGGCGCCCAGACATGCCTGTATGGAGTCCGCGCTGCCCACGCCGCCGGCAGACTCCGACGCTGAAGACTCTGGCGATGACTCCGTGCCGGCCGGTAACTCCTAACCCCTTGTACATGTGTAGTTGAGAGAGGGCGTGACCAGTGCAGTGTTGGATGCGTGTCGTGGTGTGATCTGTGCGTGAATTAAAAAGTTTGGAATGTATGGCGGGAAATGATCTTCTGTAGTTTGATTTTATGTCAGAATTTTGCTATAACAAGGATTCATCGAGAAAACTGTATGTATATGCAAATATATTAGTTGGATAATTTAATTGAGAAGGGAGAGGTGATTTAGGTATCTTTAACATAAATTACAAATAAAACAATACAATAAATATGTTTGTAGTATTTTCAAGAATTAATTTATATAGCATTGAGTATGTATATTACTTAATTTAGTTTCGCACATAATTTAATAAATTTGATTTTTCATTAAAATTTTCTCTAAATTCCTAGATGTCAAGATACTTACTATTTATTAGGAGAATTCTTTAATCCATCCACCTTATCGTCCATTGATCCTTACTACATATTGCGCTAAATTAATTTAATCAAACCTAAAAAGTTTTAAGCCTATAAATATTTTTTAAATCTCATTTAACTATAATTTAATATTTGTTTACATTTATCTTACTTAGTAAATATCATCTAAATACATATGTGTGAAGGAATGCGTGCAGTCGGCGGCCATGCGTTTAGGCCTAAAGATATAACAACAAACCAGTGATTGCAAACAAGTTAAAAACAAATAAACACCATTATTTTTATTCGCGTTTAATTTTTTTTTTATTATTTCAACATTCGTCAAGTGCAAGTTTCAATTCGGTCAATTTATGAAGTTTTTAATACTGAACAGATAGAAATAAGGTTGTATCTGTCAACAAACTCTGTTTACCTGCCAAACAGTACTTTAATTGTACATTGGCATATAAAAATTTATTTCAAATATATCTAATAATATAGGTAAAAGTAGGACGGTAATAGGTAAATAGGAAAAACGTTAAGGCGGGTTCTAACATCATCAATTAGAAATTAGGGATAACTAAAGACCGAAATGATGGCCGTAATAGAAAATACATTCTCATTTTTTAATTTAAAATATTTATTTTCTTGGGTCAAAACTCTTTTTTTATCATTAATGTTATGAAAAATATTTTTTACTTTTACTGAACTGGCGTGTCTGTTAACTCTAAAGTGCCTACTGTTCCTAATCAAGTTTCAAAAAACCATCCCCGACTTCAACGCACCTTTTTCACGATGAAATGTTATAAACTATACTTACATTACTTAATTGCTACTTGTAGGGGTTGTATGATTGCTTCAAAATTTAATGGAACCAACCGGACAGTAAACCCTCTAAAATAAAAAATATTTTTTCAAATATGTTCATAAACGACGGATTTCTAATGTTCGGACTCAAAATTCAACCGAATTAAAAATCTCCTGATCCTTTTGTAGTCGGTTTAAAAAGTAATCAAGATAAGTTCTCTTTACTTATAAAATATATATAACAGAAACATTAATTATTGGTGACCCTAAAACCTCGTTAAGCACAAAAAGACGGTTTTTTTTTTGTTTGAAAAAGATGTTAGGACGGGATGTACAATTATAGTTGCGCGATTCTACAAGTGCAACTAAAAGATGTATCGAACATAATCAAAAGCTCGGGAGCATTTGTCCTCATAATATTATGGTCTATCGGTCCAACGGCAACTTTTTTCTGGATGAAAGTACCTACCCTATCCCCTTCTCTGTAACTAACCATAGCAGAGGGTCTGCAAAGTTACAAAATAATAAACTAAATACAAATTTAGTATGTGAGATAACCGTTATAGATAATTAAAGTGGATAGTGGCAAACAATTTGTTTAATTTGGTCAAATTCCGTGCAAAATATCTTCAAGTATACTTATTGTACTTACTGCCAAGCATTCGATTACACTTTATTAGTTTTTCAGTTTCTCTTCTATTCTAAAATTACGCTTAATACAAGTACGAGGTTTTCATTGCACGCCGTCTAGCCTCGACAGCTAATTCAACATTTCTAATTGTTAGACTTCACGAACTTTCTAGTACGCAATAAAAAGCTTTCTTGTTTAAAGTATTATAACACATTTCTTATTTGCTCATAAAATTTCTAAAATAATTGAATGCGACTGAGATCAAATTAAAAATGAGCAAATGAATATACATAGTTAGCTTTATATTTTAGCTGTCATGTTCTAAATGAGTCTCACGATGCTTGAAATACTCATTATTCATAAAACTGTAAAGGAAATTGCTTTTCAATAATTACGAATGTACAATTAAATTCATAGATACCTGGGTACGATATAAACGGAAGTAACTTGAAGGTCTCTGAAAAGGCTAGAAAGCTTCTTAAGAGTGGCCCCGCAGGAGTAAAATATATTACAGCAATTTTAATACATAAAGTTTCTATATTGCGTTACATATCTGATATTTTATAAATTTGAACTAATGTCAATTGGCCTCTATCTATCCTGACACTTAAATATTTACTTTGATTTTTTAATTATTATTGGGTATACTCTACAACAAGGGAATTATCAAATAAAAATAAATACAATAAGAATAAAACCACAGTAAAATATCTTGCAATCGGTGAAAGTGTAAGTATTTAAAAAAATAACCTAGACTGGAAGATATCTGCGCCTTTTTTACGTCGGTTAAAAATCAAATACTTTAAAATCCCAATCCAATCCTAAATTTGTTAAAATTTTTAGACCTTGGCTGCCTTTAGACCAGAGTTCTTCTCATTGCATTGCATTGAAAGTAAAAAAGTGTGTCGGAAAAAAAACAAAAAAACCGCGTGAAAATCGTATGGTAAGATCCGCAAACTTCATTATATTTTATATCTTTTCAGCATTTCTCGTGCCAATTATTACATTGAAATATATAAGTTGTTAATATTAGGTATAGATTTTAAGGACAATAAGTTTTCAAAACATAATTTGGAGCCAAAAATCCGCTATTTAATTTTTTTATAATTTTCATAAACCCTCTCACAATAAGACGAAGCTAACGACACTTGTACTCGTAATGCTAAAATCCATCAAAATGCATGACTCTCCCGGAGCAGTCCGGTGAAGAATGTCAACCGAGCCGTAACTTTTTACATTTATAGATATGTCTAATCATACAGATCATATATTTTTTATAGTTTATAGTCACCTAACAGAAACTTATCAGAATTTTAGGAAAAATAATTAAAATGTATACCACCAGTTCAAAATGAATCCATCCAAAGGTTGCCTGGAAGAAATTGCACTAAGCGATAAGGCCGCCCTTTGTACATTACATCTGTTGTGAATTACTTTATAAAGTCTGTAAAACCCTGGTGTACAAATAAAGTATTTTTCTATCTCTCTATATCTATCTATCTAAATTTGGAGTCCCATTTGGGAGTACCGAAGAAGCAAAAATGTATTTCCTCTTAAACAGATTCTGTAACTTTGTAATGAGTGTGATGACAAGTTTGAAACACGACTAAACAAACTACGCGGAAAACAGCACTGCAAAGAGAAGGAAAACTTGACACAAACCTTATACCAACCCGTCTGGCCAGCGTGGTATAGTAGGCCAAAACCTTCTTTATAAGGTGAGGCATTGTCCAGCAGTGGACTATTAACGGCGGTTGATGATGAAGTGATTTCAATAATTCTTGTTTTAATTGAGTTGGTTATATTCAAGATTACTTATAGATACTTAAATTGAAAAATAATATTCCTTCTCTAAGGGGTTCCTTCTTCTTCTTCTTTCTGATTCTAGATAATGAAGTATACACATTATGACGACTTATCATTAGTTAGGGAATGGCATTTGGTAATACTATTCTTTAAAGTTATACACTAACGTCTTTCTCCGCGAAGGGGTAGGCAGAAGCGTATCAAAACGTCTACATTTTATTTAAATCGTAACAGGCGTAGTTAGCTTACTTATTTTAATAATCATACATGACAGAATTGTTTATTATCATGCAGTCACGAACTTTGCATGATAATATGTCATCTGTAGGTTTTCTCCGAATTCCAAGTTCCATTAGAATACCGACCTTGGCATTATGACTGTGGTGATTTCATCATCATCAACACCTACGGTTTGACTGACTCCAACGATATTTTGTATTCCTCTGTATATAATTTTCATCATTAGAGTGTTACTAAAATATATGATCGAAAAACTATAAGAATGGAATGGGTTAATGAAATCTCATTTAAACTATTACCTAGCAGAACCTCGAATCAGGATAATACATTTAAGAGATCCAATCAAATGACACCACACACACTTCTACCACACACGCTTACACCACACACACTTCCTCCACACACACTTACACCACACACACTTACATCACACACAATTACACCTCACACTTACATCACTCTCATTTACACATACACATATCATACTAGAATTTACCTACCACATAAACATAAAAAGCATCTCAACTTTTTATCACTTTATAACCTTTATATTTTATTTACTTACAGTTTTATAATATAACCTGACAAATCCACTATCTGTGGTAGTATTTTCTTTGTAGTGGCATAATTGTTTTTGACCATAAAACAAAAACACTTCTCTCGCTCTTCCCGACTATTCGTCCCACATAGTGGTGGGGTCAGCCCTCTTCGTGTACTTCTGCCACTTCGCCCTGTCTCTGACGTCGTCTTCCGAAACATTGAATGCCTTCATGTCTCTCGGCAACAGATCTGTCCATGTGGTCTTGGGTCTTCCTCTAGAGCGTGCTTCGGGACGAATAGTTCTACTGCCTGGTTTCCAACGTAATCAGGTGGTCTCCTCCGGACATGTCCATACTTCCTCGTATGTATTCGTTATGCATCATATCCATGCTGGTTACGCCGCACATCCATCTTAGCATTTTCATATCCGCAACATGAATGGCACGTACATGCCCCTGCGTGGCTGCCCAAGTCTCACTGCCATACTTTAAAACTGGCTTTACTATTGTTTTATAAATAAGCCCAGCTTCAGCTTTAATACAGATGGATAAAAAAATATCTATACGTG